AAATTAATTTGTCCTCGATAATAGCATCATTTATCTCTACATGATGCACTCCGGAGTGCAGGTTTAATTGTAGTGATTCAGCAAATTTCATTGCTGTGGACACGAACAGCAGCCCCCAGAAGCATTTGGCCATCATTCTGAAAAAACAAAACAAAAACAGATCCAGTTTTAACTTTTACGCACGTTACATTACAAAAAATCAGATGCTTATCGAACAGCCCGGTGTTTTAATGAGCAATTTTTTTGACTGGGCTAACGGATAAGGATATCCGGATATAAGGATTGCAAATTTATATTTTAGTTGTTGGGGTAAAATTTTCATGATAGATTGTTATAATTTTCTGGGATTTCATTTTGTAAGGATAAGAAACAATCAGTTGGTTTTCATTTTTCAAAAGCCAATCGCGGAATTTAAAAAAAGAGCCACACCGAAAACTCGAAGGGCTTCTAACGGAACCTCCCAAAAAGTATATCAACATCGTGAACGTTTGCCGTCCCGCTTAGTCAGGCGGAAGTTTATTCTTAAGTCGTACTTTTTGTCAACTACACCCAGAAAATGATTTCTAGTTACTTAGAATTTTGCAGTTAAAACACTTAAGTTCTATGTACTTTTTAGTTTATTAGCTGTGCACAAAATTAAGCATTCGTTTCAATATGCACGAATTTTATGCGCAACAAGGCACACTTCCTGCTTAGTTTCGCACAAATTCGTGCGTCTTAAAACGCATGCTCAATTTAGTGCGTAAGCTTATGCACTAAAAGGTACATAGTAGTTTACTGTAAACCTTCGCGGATGAAGGCCAGATTACTTACGCTAAGAATAAAATTCGGAAACTCAGTAAAAAGGTTTAAAGCAAGAAATTTTACTTGAAAATTCCAAGTAACTAGAATTTATTATTCTGGATGTGGTGCGTTATAAGAATGGAAAACTTACCTGCAAGGCGAGAAAAAACTACAGAGAATCCGGTAATTTTTTCACAGCGTCGCTCTGTACCCAAAACTACAGTGATCTCTGTCTTTTAAAAGACGGAGCTCACTGTTGTTTTTTGTGTGCATCTCTCTGTTGTCCGAGTGGCCAATGCCACATCGGGATGGCATGGCCAAAGCCTCATAGGTCACCGTTGGGTCCCCGAGGACGTCGACGGGCACCTCACAGGGTCCCCGATGACGATGTGAGCATTTTAGACCTAGGTTCCGACCATTCGTTGAAAAGGTCTCGTCAAGATCTACTCGAATCAAGAATGAAAAAAAAAATTCTTGGTCAACCCTCTTTTTTCAAGATCCAGTTGACCAATCAGGATCTTGAAAAAAGGGGGTTGACCAAGAAAATTTTTTTATTCTTGATTCGAGTAGATCTTGACGAGACCTTTTCAACGAATGGGCGGAACCTAGGTCTAAAATGCTCGCATCGTCATCGGGGACCCTGTGAGGTGCCCGTCGACGTCCTCGGGGACCCAACGGTGACCTATGAGGCTTTGGCCATGCCATCCCGATGTGGCATTGGCCACTCGGACAACAGAGAGATGCACACAAAAAACAACAGTGAGCTCCGTCTTTTAAAAGACAGAGATCACTGTAGTTTTGGGTACAGAGCGACGCTGTGAAAAAATTAACAGGATTCTCTGTAGTTTTTTCTCGCAGTGTGCGACGCAGGAAAGTTTGAATTTTGGTCCCTTGCAAAATGGAAAATATATGGGCACTATATGGACAAAATATATGGCCCAACATGTATTGACGTCATATGTGGAAAATATAATTTAGCAATATCCGATATCCAATATAAAAAATATGTGGCAAATATATAAATTTCATACATTGCTCTATATGTAGGCACTACATAGTGTGATTACACCATGGAGTCTGGCGACTCAAGACTTCCTTCACTATTATAAAAGAATGTAAACTTTGCCTTGCGAGGACATCTAAGTGTTATCAAACCGTGGCCCCTTGAACGAACTTTTCGCGCTACACCCAAAAAAGACGTTAAAATTTCCGAACTGTCACCACTGTTAAAAAAATTCTGAAAATTCAGACCAATTTTGTCAGACTTAGCGGTCTGAATCTGTAAATCAGACTTAATTCTGAAAAATCAGAGTTTTTGTCTTAGTTCTTAAACGCTTTGTCTGAAAGCTTGGTTCAGACTCGAAGTGTCTTAATATTTGTACTCATTCTCAAAATTCATATGAACTTGCGTCAGACTTCCCAGACCTCAAGAGTCTGAATTTCGGATTCAGACTACTTTCTGAAATATGTTCAAACATAAGAGAAAATTGGACAACTTTCTTCCAAACCTAACATTGGGTTAACTCACAATCAGTCTTACATTCAATTTAATCCGACTCCGTTTCGGGGACTTCAGACAAAACGAAAGCATTTTTCTCTCCGCTAGGTGGCGCCAGTGTCGGTAAAGAGCCTGCTGTTGTTAAAAACGTTTTTTTCTGTTAAATTTTTAATATTTTTAACCCGAAATGGCCATCACTCTATTGGCTATGACGAAACACACGCTCCCATACCAAATTTATATCTGTAGCAAACGCGCGAGTTTAACAATTGACATTTGAAGTTACCTCTCGCGGTTGGCTCCGTGCCGTCGTTCCCTAGGGTGCGTCAGGCCAGCTCCAGATGAGTGCAGGGAAGAGTCCCACATCGGGGACATTGCCCTACACTCAATTTTTTACCTAGACGGTTCCTTGAAGTACGTCTCTCCTTTGAGGTTCGGATGCGAACATTATCATTTCACCGAGTTACGGGAAAATTTCCTGCTGCCACATTCAGACAAAACAATCTAGTAATTGAGACAATTTTGTCTGAATTTTTCAGACTACGACCTGTCTGAAAGGTTAAGACTTGTGTAAGTCTGAAAATTTCAGACCAGGATTTAGTCTGAATTTTCAGTAGGATGTTCTGCATATTTACTTCAGTCAAAAAAGTCTGAATTTTCAGCAAAATTTTTTAACAGTGCAGTTTAATTGTTAAACAGGATTTCTCAAAATTTCTTGGAGACTTAAACGCATAGAAAAGAACCTTGCTCCTGATCAATATATGGTGTCAATATATTTTACAAGATAAAATCATCTTGAGAAATATAGCCGCCTTTCAACATCGAGTGCCAAGATTTTAAGACAAGTTACTTGAAAAGTCTGCCCTCCTCACCCTGCACCATCCCACGACGGGCACCGTGTCAGATATTGAAACATACATTTCGGGAAGATAATATTATATGGGGAAATATGTGCATCATATATTAACGGTCACCAAGATATACCCCCATATATAAACCACGTATTGCGCAAGATAATTTGCAATATATTGAGCAAGATACAATTATATTGATAATGCATGGAACATATATTGAGTCATATATTGACACATATTTTCCATATATTTTCCTTTTTGCAAGGGGTGTCCCAAAGTCATAAGCATGCGTTACGAAGTCGTATCTTTGAAAGCCATTATCTCCCGAACCAAGGTGATTAAAGCTCAACTTGAGTTCGGAAAATGTAGATATTGACGAGGAGAACAAGAAACAGTACAGACAAGGTCGCCCCGACGCAGGAAAGTTTGAATTTTGGTGTCCCAAAGTCATAAGCATGCGTTACAAAGTCGTATCTTTGAAAGCCAATGTCTCCCGAACCGAGGAGGTTAAAGTTCAACTTGAGTTCGGAAAAGGTAGATATTGACGAGGAGAACAAGAAACAGTACAGACAAGGTCGCCCCGACGCAGGAAAGTTTGAACTTTGGAGTCCCAAAGTCATAAGCATGCGTTACAAAGTCGTATATTTGAAAGCCAATATCTCCCGAACCGAGGTGGTTAAAGCTTAACTTGAGTTCGGAAAATGTAGATATTGACGAGGAGAACAAGAAACAGTACACACAAGGTCGCTCCGACGCAGGAAAGTTTGAATTTTGGTGTCCCAAGGTCATAAGCATGCGTTACAAAGTCGTATCTTTGAAAGCCAATATCTCCCGAACCGAGGAGGTTAAAGTTCGACTTGAGTTCGGAAAATGTAGATATTGACGAGGAGAACAAGATCCAGTACACACAAGGTCGCTCCGACGCGGGAAAGTTTGAATTTTGGTGTCCCAAAGTCATAAGCATGCGTTACAAAGTCGTATCTTTGAAAGCCAATATCTCCCGAACCGAGGTGGTTAAAGTTCAACTTGAGTTCGGAAAAGGTAGATATTGATGAGGAGAACAAGAAACAGTACAGACAAGGTCGCCCCGACGCAGGAAAGTTTGAACTTTGGAGTCCCAAAGTCATAAGCATGCGTTACAAAGTCGTATATTTGAAAGCCAATATCTCCCGAACCGAGGTGGTTAAAGCTTAACTTGAGTTCGGAAAATGTAGATATTGACAAGGAGAACAAGAAACAGTATATACAAGGTCACTCCGACGCAGGAAAGTTTTAATTTTGGTGTCCCAAAGTCATAAGCATGCGTTACAAAGTCGTATCTTTGAAAGCCAATATCTCCCGAACCGAGGTGGTTAAAGTTCATTGTGAGTTCGGAAAATGTAGATATTGACGAGGAGAACAAGAAACAGCACACACAATGTCGCTCTGCATGATTTTTACCGTTTTTCGGTAAGTATAGTCCGTTTGCATGCGGTATGCCTATTGGGGATTTTTGTGGCCACAATTTTGTGGCCACAATCACGCTCGTTTGAGTTTGAGAGTGCCAAAATTTATCAAGTCATCTCGGGCCAAGGTTGACCCCGACACTGACAACAAATACTTTGACAATCTGCAGGAAACGCTTCAGGGAGTGCCACCGGAAAATATTTTGAACTTTGATGAAACAAATGTCACTGACGACCCAGCTAACAAACATGCCATTGTGCGGCGAGGAGAGAAATACCCCGTAAGTGTCATGACAACCTCTAAGTCTGCAATTTCTCTAATGTTTGCTGGCTCGGCGGCGGGCACTCTTTTGCCGCCATATGTTGTATATAAAGCCAAAGAACTATGTGAAACTTGGACTGCGGGAGGCCCACCTGGAACACGTTACAACCGTTCGAAGTCAGGATGGTTTGACATGGCTATATTTGAGGAATGGTTTTGCACAACGCTTCTGCCATGGGCAAGGGCTTTAGACGGTCCCAAAGTAGTTATCGGCGACAACGTTTCGTCGCATTTCAGCAAGAATGTTTTTGAGCTTTGTGCCGAAAATGACATTAAATTTGTCTGTCTTCCGCCAAATGCCACTCACTTACTGCAACCACTTGACGTCGCCTTTTTTGCTCCTTTGAAAACTGCATGGAGGAATATTTTGAACGAGTGGAAACAGAAGTCCCGCAACAGGACATTGACATTGCCGAAACCAAACTTCCCAGAACTCCTTAAGTCTCTTTTAGAGTCAATTGAAGGTAGGGAACTTTCTTTCGTTGTTTGCCAATTTTATTTTAAAAATTTTAAAAAAATAACACAGCAATATTTATTTTTAGGAAACCGCGAGCGAAATCTGGTTGCGGCTTTTAAGGCTGCGGGAATTCACCCTCTTGACCGAAACCAAGCCCTGAAGAGGATTCCGGGTGCACTGCCGTCTCCTTCCAGAGAGCAGGTGTAGGGTCAGTTGGGGTAATAATGGGACACTGAAAACTTGGGGAAAAATGGGACACTTTCTAAACTTGACGACTTTTGGCATTTTAAAACGTCCTACAATGACATGTTTGTGCTTAAAATGTTCATTGAGGTGTCTAGTATTCCATTAATCATTCGGCGGGACAATAACTGCTCATAGAAATGAGAATTAAGAAATCAAGCGAAACATAGCAATTATGGGTTTTCTAAAGGTTGGAAAAATTTGCCGCAGAGGTCATCTAATTAGAACACTACAGAACCCCCCATAAACAGAAAAGTGAAGTATTATAGTGTGTTGGAAAGCTAAAAGAACGAGGATTTCGATCCACCAACTCATTTTGACATCAATGCATTCGTTAACTTGCAATTGTAGAATTTTCCTGTGGGGTAAAAATGGGACACCACTTTGGGGAAAAATGGGACACTCCTGGGGTTAAAATGGGACACTTGGTTAATGGTAAATTGTGGCCTTTGGGGAGAAAATTTTCAAAGTTGTTCGAATTGACATCTCTGAATGGAAATAGATAGGCCTCGACAATACAAACAAAAAATGTCAACACATGCTATGGGTTTGGACGGATATTTAAAAAGTTAATAGGCTTTGAAAGTAACAAATAGTCGCAAAAGGTCAAATTGCACCCAAGTTCTTTTGAAGCGCAATGCCTCTTCATTTTTCATCCGAACCGGTGGCATGTGATGACATTTATTGTTCCTCGTGTTGAGACGGATCGAATTTTATAAAGTGGTGTCAATTTGAAAAACTTTGAGGCCTGTTTTACCTCTGCTAAGCCCTTGTCCCATTTTTACCCCAGCGTGTCCCATTATTACCCCAAACTTACAAGTCCGAATTTTCACAGTTTATTTTACACAACTGCAAAATTAAATGACTTTTTGATCTTATTTTAGCGCCAAATGGTGTGGAACAGAGTACCCTATCCTTTAAAAGCATTAGAAACACTCCAACTCGCCATTGTTGAGTTGTGGAAACCTTATTATTCAAACTGTCCCATTATTACCCCAACTGACCCTACCGCCAGGTTTCAGAGACCTTCCTGGAGAAACTACAGGAACAGAGATACGGCGAGCCAGGGGCGCCTCGGCGCGGAAGGCGTCTCCGGGTCTCTCCTGGAAAGAGTTGGGCCGCTCCAAGGACCGATGAGGAAAATGAGAAAGATGAAGACGATCCAGGGGCCAATGGTAAGGACGATTTGGAATAAAATCAAGTACGGAAAATATTTGTTTGTGTTGGAAATTTGTATCATATTTTTTTTACAGTGCACTCCGAAGATGAAGGAAACTCTAGGAAAAAGCGTAAGAGACGGCAGGCGGCGCAGACCCGTCCTCCTGCCCAGAAGAGACGTACACTGTTAAAAAAGTTATGAATTTTCAAAGCAATTTTGATGACAATTTTCCGAACACGGATATGAATTTTGCAAACATTGCAATTTTCATAACTTGATGCGAAAATTCGAAACAATTTCGTAAAATTGACAATTGTTGGTAATTTTCAAACCATGTTCTGAAAATTGCGAATCTTAAGTGTTGATTTTGAGCTCACAATAGTAATTTTCCGAATCCGATTGTAAATTTCATAACTGGCTCAAGAGGCCTGGCCAAGGGGCGCTGGTAGAGTCATCAGGTAGCTGACCCTCCGCCTCCCGTGGGACGTGGTAGCACAGCGGTAAAGAGCGTGCACCACAAGTCAAAGATCCCGGGTTCGAAACCCGCTGATCAAAAGTAGAATCGGTTCAATTAATGGCATAAGGCCGCATCGGTGTTCATATACATGAACAATTAGTTGTCCTTTTGTTTAACTGCCCTAAAATGACCTCGCAAACGCGAATATTAATTTTCATAACATGATATGAATTTTCATATCGTGATTGTAAAACAATTTACAATCATTTGTGATTTTAATTTTCATAACAATTGTTTGTGAAAAAAAATGCCAACCAATGTTATGAAAATTACAACTGATTTTTTTAACAGTGTAGGCGTGGTGCGGGTTCAAGCAGTGGCCCACAGCCGGCCGATGCCGACAGGGCTGGCGAGAGCGACGCTGACGCCACCGGTAAGCACTTTAAAACGAAAAAGTTGCTGTACTACATTATTTGTGTGTTTGACTAATTTTTATTATTATTTGTTTTACAGTGGATTCCGAGCATGTGGCCGATGCCACGCCAAAGCGGAGGAAACGGCAGCCAGCGCGTACACAGAAGCAGAATCAGCCGAAGAAGGCCCGTACCGGAGCCCAATCTGCTACTGCATCGCGCATTGAACCGACTCAAGGAGACTTCGTTCTGGTGAAGTTGGCAGAAAAGAGGGCCGTGAAGCACGCCGTCGGTCAAGTGAGCCACATCGACGCCAATCTGGATCTGGCCGTCAAACTTTTGAGACCTCAAGAAAACCAAACATTTGTGTGGCCACCCCAGCCTACTGTTAAATCTGTTGACTATTCTGAGGTCGTAGAAATTCTCGACGAGCCTAAAAAGTTGAAGAAAAAGGGGTGCCCACTTCGATTTTCTTTTGATTTTAAAGATTTTGTTCTTTCATAAGATCCAAGTGTTCATTCAAGCCAAACTTTAATGCAGGCTCAAACATTTTGCACTTTTATTTGTTCAAATATTTTTTGGTATAAAAAGAATATTTACTTCAGAGCCAATTTGTTCTACACTCCCGACAAAAATTAGCGGAACGCTTTTTGTCATCGTAATATTTTCTAAGTCTTTCGAGCTAGGAAGCTGAAATTTTGTACAAGGGTGCCCCTACTACTTCCCTCGAGGCCTGCGAAGTGCGTAGCCCGTGCGCCTCCCATAACGGACGGCACCCACCCCTAAGTGCGCGAGGGTGAAAAAAAAACGATGAAAACGTGCCGTAAAAACCAACTTTACCTTATCGCAGAGGCCAAAGTTTTCGTGTACGAAGTCAAATGAGTCTCCTCTTTCCAACGATGCAAGCGGAATTCAATTTGAACCAACCCACCCCCCGCTGCACTCACCCTCACCCCCTCGAGGGGGTGGATTTCGAGCATGTTTGAATTTCGCGCAAAACAGCGTCGGGGCGTCCCCCGTACCAAGCAAACATGTTTTTTCGACGTTCCAACCACCCCCGGGTGAATCATCCCCCGGAAAGTCCCACCCCCTTTCGAACACCGGCCGTCCGGGGCCTTTCGGTTTGAGCAAAACGCAACAAAACTCCAGGGGGCATTCCTCCAGTGTCAAAGAAGACGTCTCAGCGAAGAAACGCGCTGCGGGACGACTGCAACCCCTGCGGTAGGGGTGTTCACCCCCTTGCACCCCTGCACGCCCCTGGAGGGGTTGGAAGCCCTCCGACGAGCGGGTTGGTCGAACAAGACATGGGGGAAGCGATCCTGAAGTTTTCAAGACGATCCCACCAACCGTTCGTCTTCCAGAGCGAAAAAAGCGTCATTTCCAGTAAAAACCACCCCTCACTTCACTCCCTTCCAGCGACTCACTGAGTGGGGGTAGCAGTCCCAACCAACGTCACAACACTCGGCCCAGACCTCATTTCAAAGGCCTCCAAGTTTCAGACTGATGCGACAAAGCATGGGACCGTGGGAGCGACGCAACGATGTGCCTGCACTCGGCGGTAACGGACGTGCCGGCCCGACGGGTCCATGCGCCGTGTAGGTAGGCAAGCCAACTCACCTGGCGCCAAGTTGATTAAAAGCCATTTGGAAGCCTGATTTTGGATGGTTAGCCACTGTGGCATGTTGGTAGACATGCCCTGCCCACAGTGCTGAAGCGTGGTGACGCGCAAGCCATTATCAGGCTTCCAAATTGCTTTTAATCACCATGGCGCCAGGTGAGTTGGCTTGCCTACCTGCACGGCGCATGGACTCGTCGGGCCGGCACGTCCGTTACCGCCGAGTGCAGGCACATCGTTGCGTCGCTCCCAAGGTCCCATGCTTTGTCGCATCAGTCTGAAACTTTGAGGCCTTTGAAATGAGGTCTGGGCCGAGTGTTGTGACGTTGGTTGGGACTGCTACCCCCACTCAGTGAGTCGCTGGAAGGGAGTGAAGTGAGGGGTGGTTTTTACTGGAAATGACGCTTTTTTCGCTCTGGAAGACGAACGGTTGGTGGGATCGTCTTGAAAACTTCAGGATCGCTTCCCCCATGTCTTGTTCGACCAGCCCGCTCGTCGGAGGGCTTCCAACCCCTCCAGGGGCGTGCAGGGGTGCAAGGGGGTGCACACCCCGGCCGCAGGGGTTGCAGTCGTCCCGCAGCGCGTTTCTTCGCTGAGACGTCTTCTTGGACACTGGAGGAATGCCCCCTGGAGTTTTGTTGCATTTTGCTCAAACCGAAAGGCCCCGGACGGCCGGTGTTCGAAAGAGGGTGGGACTTACCGGGGGATGATTCACCTGGGGGTGGTTGGAACGTCGAAAAAAATTGTTTGCTTGGTACGGGGGACGCCCCGACGCTGTTTTGCGCGAAATTCAAACATGCTCGAAATCCACCCCCTCGAGGGGGTGGGGGTGACTGCAGCGGGGGGTGGGTTGGTTCAAATTGAATTCCGCTTGCATCGTTGGAAAGAGGAGACTCATTTGACCTCGTACACGAAAACTTTGGCCTCTGCGATAAGGTAAAGTTGGTTTTTACGGCACGTTTTCGTCGTTTTTTTCACCCTCGCGCACTTAGGGGTGGGTGCCGTCCGTTAGGGGAGGCGCACGGGCTACGCACTTCGCAGGCCTCGAGGGAAAGAGTAGGGGCACCCTTGTACAAAATTTCAGCTTCCTAGCTCGAAAGACTTAGAAAATATTACGATGTCAAAACGCGTTCCGCTAATTTTTGTCGGGACTGTATTTTTCGTTACTTTTTATGACCATTAAAAGCAGAGATTAATAAAACTAGCGCAATTCCCTCATTTATGGACGCCCCCCACCTCCCATCCCTGCCACCAAGTGCCCCACGGGGTCATGTTATGTCTTATAGGCATTGCTGCTGTGTAAATTCAACCATGTTATAC